GCCTGTTCTGCTCCCCACTCTGTCTCTGGTGAATCCTCTCACCGCCCTGCACCTCTGGCCTGTACCCCAGTTCTGTATGTGTAAATAATCTTTTTTAAAAAATAAATAATAAAATCAGCACTTCAGGTGCTGCTGAGCTCCACGCTTCGAGAAATTTGGCCACAGGCATCAGGTAAGAAGGGACAAAGGCAGAGGCCTAGCAGACAGGCACAAATGTGCAGCCACAGCCATGGATTCCCCAGAACCCGGCTTAACTGCTTGCACCGGAGAGCCTAGACACAGCCCACCGCAGAACAGAGCTTGTCAAGGTCATTTAAAACATCCCAAGTAGTTCACCAGAGACGTGTTTGTGAGGCCAACTCACACGTGATGCAACGGGCGATCAATCCAAAACACAGATCTCTGCTCAGACCTTATCAGCGAGCGAGCAGGGGACTCACCCCGACTGCAGCCTCCTAGGGCTAGTGCACACCTCAGCCTGAGTGACCAGCAACCAGATCGTTCACAGAAGAAACCAAGGCGAGCGAGTCAAAGGGGGGGTTTGGCAGAATTTGCAGCAAAAAGGCTGAGAGACGTCCCCTTAAGTTAGCTTCCAGAACCCCCACTTCTGGAAGCCTGGAGTGGAGTGGAATACGAATGGCCTCTTAAACGTGAATTAATGTCGAAAAACGAGGCCGGGTGCGTGGGTGGGGGATTTGAGACCCGTGCCCGGCGGCTGGTCCCCTTTAAGGGTCTGGCCCTCGGCACGGTCCAGGCCGAGCCACTCATCAGATGGAGATTGACTTTTATCTGATTAACCCGTGCAGAAACATCCTTCTCCCTCTCCCAGGCTCATTCTGTGGGAAGGCGCTCTGCAGACTGCAGACAAAGTTGGGCCTTGGCTTCCCTCCTGCTCGGCCAGTGGAAAATTACAAAGGAACCGAGACAGCCCTCTGCTATGCTCCTAGGTGGCTCCTGGCCCCTCGACAAAGTCAAACCCAGACAGGAGCGGGGCGGCCCTTCACTCACCTGGGGGGGAGAGGAGTCGAGGCGGGGGCGGCGGCGGGGGCGGCGGCGGCGAGACCCTGGATGACCAAAGAGCCCTGCAGCTCGCGCTCGACCAGCTCTCGCTGCTGGGGCTGGACAGTGACGAGGGCGCCTCGCTGTACGACAGCGAGCCGCGCAAGAAGAGCGTGAACATGACCGAGTGCGTGCCGGTGCCCAGTTCCGAGCACGTCGCCGAGATCGTGGGGCGGCAAGGTGGGTCCGGCCGCG